TAAACAGAAGGGAAGAGAAGCTGAATTCATCATTTTTTATGAAAGAGGAAAATGATTCTGTTAAGGTTGGCAGTGATTCTGAGGATTCTGTTACAATGAAACTAAATATCCTAAGGAAACAGGGAAACAACTTCAGTTCATCATTCATGCAAGAGAAAAAAGCCTCTGATATAGTTTCCAGTGACACTGAGGATTCTGTTATGGAAAGATTCAACATCCTAAGACGACGGGAAGAGAACTTGAAATCATCTTTCATGGGAGAGAAAAAGGATCAGGATGTGATTGCCAATGATGCTGAGGATTCTGTTAAGGTGAGACTCAACATCTTAAGACAGCGGGAAGACAACTTGAATTCATCTTTCATGGAGGAGACAAAGGATCCAGATATGGTCACTAATGATGCCGAGGATTCTGTTATGGCAAGATTCAATGTATTAACACGCCGGGGGGACAACCTGAATTCACCGTTTATGGAGGTTAAAAAAGATCTGAACATGGTTGCTGCTGGTTCTGCAGATATGGAGAATCACGGAATGATAAATGGAGAAGTATCAAACGATCAGAGAGCAAATGTGGTCATCGATCCTTACTTTTATCATCACAGTATTAATTCCAGTGAAGGATATAACTCCTTTGGGTCTTACACGGATGGTTCTGGATATGACTCCATGAAACAGTTTCTTCTCTCTGTCGCGGATGATCCAATTGTCCATTCAAATAGGAAGGCCAGACTGGGAAATCACCACTCATCAGGTTTGTATGATAATTCTTCATCCGATTGGGAGCATGTTGCCAAGGATGAGTATGTTTGACATCTCATGAGATGTCGCATCGAAGATATGTTGATGTTACTCTTTCTAGTCGATATCTGAATACACTGTATATATTGTAGAGTAGACAGAACACTACGTATTCCTATTCTCTGCTTGCTGATACTGCTATATCACTACTCGGTTGTGCACATCGTTTTATTTCTAGCTTACCTGTGCAGTCATTACTATAGTACTTAAAATTCTGCTCCTACTTGTAGAGAACATATTTCAGCTAATGCAGAAAACACTCACTTAAGTTCAGGATCCTGTATGCATGATTCATTTTTTTGTATCTGAAATTGATTTCAAACAATTTGCATGAAATATTTTATACACGGGGGCAAATATTTTTTAATGTAGGAAAATTATATTTTACCTGTTTTGATTACCTGCAACCTTATATAAACACTAGAAAACATTGTCATGATTATCAATTTATAAGTTATATGTGATTGAACAGTAATATATATACATTAGTTTTTCTTTTAAGGAACTATAACAGGGAGTGGGAGAGTCATAAAAAGATTAATAATATACATAATACATATAATAAGCTGGATGTATTTTGTTCCATATAAGTGTCTGATTACTTGTATGTGTTAATTACTACGCAATATGTATAATTTTGTTTATGACTTGATAAGGACACCTCACATAATGTGCAAGCTGAATCCTAATTGAATTAAATTACTATCTTATTATTTACATAGCGGATTTGAAACTTTTTTATGTTCCATTGCTAATTTATACTTAAATGAGATTAATATGAATTTCGTTAATTCTTTATTTTCTGGTTGCATGTGATATTACCTTGTTTAAAATTTTATTTCAACCATCAAATGCCGACATTAAACATTAATTAGTGAATACTGTTTTAACTCCAATATATCTGCAAAATCTCAAGTCACGGGTCCAAGATATAATATTCATTCTTGGATTTAAGTTATATATGCATAGACGGTGTAAAGAATTTTCTTTTATATTAGCAATGATATTAACTTGTGAATTGTGATGGTAAGTAATAGACCTGTCAATATGGAGTAGGTAGGACCGGCCTGATCTAACCCATTTGAGAAAAGGGCTTTTTAGCCCAGCCTGAATAAGTCTGCTGATTTGTGAGGCTTGAGAAATATCGGTAGAGCCGGTCTGTGTGCCAATAAAAATTAATTAAAAAATATAATATAATATTAAAATTTAAAATTAAAGAGAGTCCAAACTCAAAACAATTACATTATTATTTCTATTTAGATATTTATACTTTTACTTTAAAAAAAACTTAATAAATATTATAAAAATAATTTTATTTGTGGATTTGATTAAAAAGTAGTAACGTTAACATCATGTAATATTGCTTTGTAGATATTTATGATAATATTATAAAATTATAATATATAATTTAATTTAATAATTCTAAAAATAATATAATTTTAAAAAAAGTGAATTGGCCCGACAAGTCAATAGCCCATGTACTTGTGGCTTGGGCTAGCCCATTTTTGGTGTGGCCGACCATTTTTTGGCCCACACCAAAAATGGGCTAGCCCGGTCTGATCCGTAAAATATTGAAGTCTGTATGAATTAGCCCGGATAAGGGGTAGCACATATTGACAGCTCTAATAAGTAAGATTATTATTTTTATCAAATTATCAACTAATATTTATAAAATAAAACCGTGTAAATATATTTTTTACATAGTTAATGCATAAAAATCATACTCTTATTTGTAAAAAACCCTTTGGTACATTTTTTAAAACTGGGAGTAGGTCTTTTGTAGTTAACGTAACTCAATGATTATACATTTGATTAAAGAAATATAATTAAGAAGTAAAGTAAAAGAAAAAGACCCACTTGCAAGCATAATCCACTATAATTAGCATAAATGTAGGGTTAAATCAATGTCTAACCACTACACTTTGTATTTTCATGCAAAAAAAGTCAACAAAATAGATTGGATGAGTCAAGCTTATTATGTTCCTACATTAACCAAAAGAAAAAAGAGCTAATAAAATGTATTTTACGTACAATTATAGTCAATCACTGACCAACTCCAGTTGTCCTTAACCTTCCAAAACATTGGGGAATCTTTGCTTACCTATATACTCCCTCCCTCGGTCCATTTTTATTCGTGCAATATATTAAAAAATTAACTATTTATTTTTTTAAAAAAAAAAACTTAAATTTTTTTATAATAATTATCACTTTCAAACCATTGAATTTATTATATTCAAAGGATAATATAGTAAACATACTATTTTATTATTTACTATCTCCGTTCAACTTTAGTCCACGATACTAAAAATAGATGTTCAATATTACTTTGTACAATTTAGATGCTCATTATAATTAACTATAGTCATTTTCCAAAGCAATAAATTTATTAAATTTAAAGGGCGATATAATAAAATTGTCATTCTAATTATATTTATTACTTCATAAGAAGAACCTCAGGTCAAATATGAGTAAGTAAAAGTGGAGGGTGGAAGTATAATTTTACAGCTTATTGCGTTCCAACCATGCACTAAAATATTATAGATTAGCTATTGTATCAAGACAAGTTAACTTTGGATGCACTTGATAGTTTATAGCCACAGGCTGGCCTATATATTGACATCTATTATTAATGATCAAGCTAGTCAAGCTTACCAAGAAAAATGAGTGTAAGAATGTTGATTAATGCATTAATATTCTTGGTTTTATGTGAGTGTATGATGTTAGAAGCACAACTTCAAGTGGGATTTTATGATAATTCATGTAGTATGGCTGAGTTCATTGTGAGGCAAGAGGTTACAAATGCTTTCCTTAGAAATAAGGGAGTGGCTGCAGGCCTTGTTCGCATGCATTTCCATGATTGTTTCGTTAGAGTAAGTCGTATCATTTTTGCATAATCTATGTATTTTATCTGTTGTAACGGATAACCTTGTTGGTATTATGGATAGGGTTGTGATGGATCAGTGCTGATTGACTCAACTGCAACAAACTCAGCTGAGAAGGACTCACCAGCAAATAACCCGAGCCTTAGAGGTTTCAAAGTCATTGACAGTGCAAAGGCTAGGTTGGAATCTGTTTGTGAAGGAGTTGTTTCTTGTGCTGATATAGTCGCTTTTGCAGCTAGGGATAGTGTAGTGATAGTAAGTATACTAGTAATTAAGATTTATTAAGTATTATTACCATCTTAAGTACTAGTCTCTTTACCTTCACGAGGATAAGGGTAAGGCCTGCATACACTCTATCATCTCCAGAGCCCATTAATGGAATTTCACGGACTACTTACTTGCACACTTGAAATTACTGTAGACTGGAGGACTTGGCTATGAAGTTCCAGCTGGTAGAAGAGATGGCAGAATCTCACTAGCTTCTGAGACAAGAAGTTTGCCCCCTCCTACATTGGATGTTGACCAGCTCACCCAAAACTTCAGAAGTATGGGACTCACCCAAGAAGAAATGGTTACTCTATCAGGTAAGCAGCAGTGTAGCACTTTGTTTTAAGTTTTATGCACTGACATTTTACTGAGTCTTTGATCTCTGATGTCTGTCTAGGAGCTCACACCATTGGTCGATCTCATTGCCTGGCCTTCAGGAACAGATTATACAGCTTCAACTCAACAACAAGCCAGGATCCCAGTCTTGATCTTTCCTATGCAGCCCAGTTGAAACAGCAATGTCCAGAAGGCAGCACGGATGCAAGTTTGGTGGTGCCAATGAACCCTGTAAGCCCCGGTACCACTGATGAATATTACTACACCGATATTCTGGCCAACAGGGGCTTGTTTACATCCGACCAAACTCTTCTCACAGATCCAACTACAGCTATCCAAGTACTACAAAATGCTAGGTTTCCATTCCTCTGGAAAAGTAAATTTGCTAGTGCAATGGCGAAGATGGGCCAAATAGGTGTCTTGACAGGCACAGCTGGAGAGATCCGAGCTAACTGTAGAGTCATCAATAGCTGAACAATATATATGTATATATATGGTGATAGAGGGATTGCTCCTATCAAGCTGGAACTTTCTGCACTATCTTTTTCAACCAGTTAGTACTGGGAAATAGACTATGTATTGCTCTGCTGCCCTATTATTATGTCCTTCACTTTCAGAAAATTGTAATTGCAAATACCTTCAACCATGTGATGTTTAAGCTATTGTGTTCAGGCAAAATGGAATTGTCGTTCAAAATAAAAGTTCAAAAACAATCTAAATAATAAAGAAAGCCCTTCATTTCTTGATATTGGTCATTGAGGTTCTACAATGCAACTACTACTCAATAGCTGGTTCACCAATTAACTAGGGCAACAAAAATAGAATGAAAGCACAACTTCTTCCAAAATTCATCATAGAGCACGAATTGAAAAGTGAAACTTTCTAAAAAAAATACTTAAGTGGTCAGCTCCATGATGGCACTGACTATGTCTCCATTGTGGGCCTTCAGAGCCTTGACTGCCTTGGTCCTAGACACTCCTGCTTGTGTCAAGACCAAATCAATGTCCCGAGGTTCAACACCAGTCTCATCGACCTCTTCTTCCTCATCTGCCTCCGCAGCAGCATTAGAGCCAGACACATCTGGCTTAGCCATGACAGATCCCATGTCTGGCATCCTAAACTGCTGAGCTGCTTGTGTCTGCAACTGAGAGCTCAAATCCTCAATCTTAGCTTCTCCAAATATGACATAAGTCTCAGAATTTGGGCTTTTGAAGACATCTGGCTTTGAGATGAAGAATAAAACCTGCAGTATTGTGATTCAAAATGATCCGCATAAATTCATATTCTTTTAAAAAATATATCAAGTTCAATGAAGATGAAATAAGGAATGATCAAGGTAATTTACATTTTTGGTCCTCTTAATAGTGACCCTGCTAACCCCTGTAACAGGTTTCATGCCAAGCTTCAACATGGCTTTTCGACTCTTCTTCTCACTTCTGCTTTGCTTAGAATTGCCACCTGCATCATTTTCCACACATATTCTTCTAAGAATTACATTGCCATGAATAATACAGTGTGGCATGTTATCTCACATGTCATACTACCATGTAAGGAAGTTAAACAGATCATGTACAATGTTGTGCGAAAAACAAAACAAAATGGATCATAAGCAGGGAGTCTTGAAACATCAATACTGGTCAAGACTGCACACCGGGAAAAGTATAGTATTGCATAAATAGCTAATAAGCTATACACCAAACCAAAAGACATAACATACTGTCATGCAATACTCAAAATCATGGCGATCCAATGACTACTCAGAGAGAAATGGATTAGCATAACATCATCCAATGTCAAAAAACTGGCAATCCCATAACATTTATCACGAATTACAAAAATGTTGTACAACTAGCTTTTGAAAACAGTCGCATGAAGCACTTAACTTACTACTACCAAAACAAACCCCAAATAGTTTCAATGCACTGAATTATCCACGAAAAGTTCAACTTGCAGGTAACTTCTAAGATAAACAAATTACAACGCAAGAAGTACTACAAGCTACAAAAGGATGAATAAAATCAATCATACAATTTAATCATTCCACAATTAGAAATGCACACTCGAACAAGTCAGTATACTATATCGGAATCATTTTCTCCTTCAAACAAGCTTTTGAAAACAGTGGCTTTAAGCATTTAACTTATTACTACTAACCAAACAAACCCTAAGCGTTATATTATCCACAAATTGCAAAGCAATGCATAAGGAAAATAGCTCATCCAATCAAATAACCTTCAAAACACTCGGTAAAATGAATGCCGTCGAAATAGAATGTACTAACAAACCATATATAAATCAGCAAGCACAATTATACGAAAGGTAACAACTGATTAAAAAAGGGATTAGGAGCAGGAAAATAATACCTTGGGCACCATCCTCCTTGTCATCATCTTCGTCGTCGTCAGAATCGTCGGCGTCATCATCGTGGTCGTCTTCCTCTTTGACGTCCTCCACGATGGGCTCATCCTCCTGAATCTTCTTCTCGGCTTCGAGTTCTTCGATGACGGGACCTGGCATGGCTACTTGTGTGTGATGGAAGGGGAGGGATGAGGATAAAATTCGTAAGCAGGAAGTAGTGTAACAAATGGTGAGGTTTTATCCTAGGGTTCCTCTCCTATGGGCTTCCGTAATTAAAGCCCAATATCATCATCAGCCCATTTATACCTTGTCTTTCATATCTTTCAATAATATATTGCATAAGAAAATGAGTATTATGAAATTCAAATCCCTCCTCTTCATCTTTAGGATTAAAAAAATCATAATTCCAATGTTTCAAGGACTGTGAATTAAATTAATTTTCTTTTTATTTTTGTAGTAACGATGTTAAAGTCAGTTTTTTTAAGCTTTCTGAAATTCTACCATGACCATTATAATATGAATACAAATAATAATATTGCAAAGATTTGTTATATTTTATTCATCAATTTCATGTGTTAGTTAGTCTTTAATCGATTTCGCCTGACAAATATAAATCACTCGTTCTTTGATACAGCTATTTGTTTCTTTTTAGATATTTCGATTCTATATTTTCAATATTATGTTTCATAATATGATATACTAGTATCATACCTAACTAAATTCAATACGATTTTATTTATTCTGTTCTGTGAATTGGTCCGTTTCGACTTGGATGTAAATAAAATCTTTAAGAGGTAGACAAAATAATAAATCTAAGCATTTTCGTATGAATAATGATCAAGTATGAACTAATGAATTAGACTAGCATCACTTCTGAATAAAATAAAATATAGGTAGAAAATTGAAAACTCTTTTTTCAAAGTAGTCTGGGATTACCCTATGATGGTATAAAGCTTGCAATGTAAGGATTGGAGTTGGACGTATCAAAATGGGTTGAAGTAGCCCTACTTGGTCTGATTTCATTTAACTAAACCTGAAAATATTGATTCAAGATTTTAAAAAAAAAATTGTTCTTGAGAAAGAAGGGGACTCATAGAAACCCAAGAAATGTAGTAGTATTTCCTACAACTCCTATATCAATTCCTACAAATACTATATCAATATATAACTACAGCTAAAAAGAACTTTAGCAACAAAAGAAACCTTGAGCAAAATACCAACAAAAATCTAGCTTAATTTTGAGATGCAGATATCATATCCAACTTAATATCCCAAATCATAACTAGGTACGTAACCATACTGCAGCGACCGAGCCATCACTACACAAAATTTACAAGTCTAGCAAAGTTGCAATGTTGTGAATACTTTTTCTTCAATTACTTTTTAGGGGCATTCCTCAGAGCTTTCCAAGCCTCATTATTCATGGCATGGCAATGGGCTGAATTCCCAATCCAGGATTTGCAAGGAGCAGCCACATCACAGACATAGCAATAACACTGCACCAAATCCAAAGGCACACAAGATGATTGATTTAAGACTACAACAACTATTTAAGACAAAGCTATAAAGAATTAGAATGTATTACATGCGTAAAACAAGAGTAACAATAAAAAGGATTGTATTACAACAGTAGAGTGTTTCGTGTTTGTAGAGACACTCATCGAAGTTTCAATTCACAGCTGTCCCATTTTTGGATATAAAAATGGATTGGATAAACATTTTTTTCTTTTCAAACAAGTCCAATTATTGAACATATAAATAGTCAGACATCAACCGAACACAGGTTAGCTCTCAACTAAACCAGAAAGTTTTCATGGCAATACTAAATATATAAAGGTAGAGACAACCCAGAGAAATTAGTACCACAAACTTGTCTTGCAAAAAGCATTGTATGTTCTGCCAATACAGTGTTCCAATGAATAACTGGCAGCGCTCGTCTCACAACTTAAATTACTAGAAAGAAACAGTTTTCCCTATTCGGTTATTCAGGAGTATCTTCTATATACCAGCAGATGTCTCTTACCCAATTCTTTTAAAATAGAAGAAGCTAAAAGGATTAAGTAATAACAGAAGCTTACTACTAAAATACCTGAAGCAAGAACATTATACTAGAATTGGATGCACAAAATTGTTCTTATCCAAGAGGCACACAAGATGATAAAATTTAATACTACAACAACTATCTGTCAATCCCAATCTAATGAATCCCAAAATGATTAATCTAATGATTTAAAAATTCACATAATTAATAAACGTAACAAATATTACCATGTCACAGTAATCCTGGTGAGGTGTCTTCCAAAAAGGATGTTTCGCGCAGTCATGCCTTGGATGTGGAAAGTCCCGACATGCCACCTTTTCACCATCAAGATCAATAATCATTCAGCCATAGAATCCATTAAGAATAAAAAGATTATTGAAGGCCAAGAAATTCTATACAGTGGCACATAATAAAAACTGGTGGCCAAATGATGGTTGATATAAGAAAAATGAGGAGCCTTTCTCGGAAAAAACTAGTAAATTAACTTCCCAGCACTTTTCAGCAACTACAAGCAGAATCAAGGATACATACGTAAAATAATAAGTACACAGAGATAAGGAATCGCCCACGGAGGAAGATCAAAATATAATAATCCATCCTTTTAATTGTTCCATGGGATGAAAAATTAAGGAACATCATCCACGATCAATACAATACTCGGTAGTTGTGCCCCAAATAAGTAGCGAGAAAAAACTCCACTGGACAGACTATTGAAATGAGACTAATGATAATGCTGTTCAAGTTGTGACATTTAAGAACTAATTAAGTTCGCTTTTGTACCACTTCACCCCTAATTCTGACAGGAGATTATCAATCTCATTTCATGCTAAGGGAATGTTGTGTTCAATTTAGAGGTAAATAGTTCATCTTGTCGTCAAATCACATTTAAATGTAAGTGCAGCTACATTGCATATATGAGATAAGACAAAATTAAACTAGCAGAAAGTCACTAGTCTACAATTGTATATAATAGAGATTCAAATAAAAACATTCTGATCAATTCAAGAAAATACAACCAGCATTCTCCCAAGCCCTAATGGGGAAATCCCAATTCCGTCAATTTAAGTCGAAATTGAAGGCAAATAATGGTTAAAACAATAAAACAAAAGAACCCGTAGAGATTAAATGTACCTCTCCTTTTTCGGCGAGAACAGAAAGGTCAGAAGCATCACGACTGTTGGAAACAGATAATTTTGAGATATCTACAGATTCATAAGGATCAAAATCGAGGATAAAGCACTCCTCTTTCTCTTCAAATTCTTTCAATTGCTCTCTCTTTTTGAGGCAGAATACAGGTCTTAATGGAGTTCCTTCATCGGTGGATGAATCAGATAAATCTACTACCAATGGAGTAACACAATCCGACCTTTCAAGCTTCTTAACCATTTTCTCGGTTCCGATGGTAGCCGGAGAAGCGATCGTTTCTCCCAAAATTCGAATTTCTTTTGGAGAAGAGGAGTAGCCGTAGTAAACCTTTTAATTCCCCACACACACAATGGGCCGTAAAAGGCTTTTCTTCCCCCAAAGAGGCCTTTCTTAGAGGAGTAAATCGGCTTAAACGTTAGGCGAGGGGGGCATTTGGGCCTCGTTTCAACATAGGGGGATTTCCTTTTTCAAAAAATCGAAACTATTCGATTACACAAATTTTTCTATCGTATTTACTAATTCTCGTTATAGTTTAAAATGATTATACTTTATCTCACTATCTAATAACTCCATACAAAATAACAAGTCAGATATATGTGAATCACACTAGATTCACACTGCATTCATGTATCTGAATTATCAAATACAGAAGCGAGATAAGAGTAAAGCGACCACGATTTGATTTGAGTACATACATTCAAATCTACTTGTAAAAAGGAGTCTGGCGAGTAAGAAGTTGTTTACATTGGAGAAGTATGTCAAAGGGATTTCACGTCTAACTCAGAGGGTAAACTATATATTACGATAAATTTTGATCACATACATATGTTGCTAAGCACCGATATTTTCATATGTATAATTTTTTAAACTTATTCTCCCAGGAATTGTTTTTTAATAAACACATACACATTTACATTATACCGGTAGTATATAGTATATTCCATCATTATTTTTTTAAAAAAATAATTTGGACTTATAGTCCATTTTATACCGTTATTATATTATACATTATATATGTTAAATATTGCAACTTTAAATATGCAATATACCATAACTATCACGGGAAGTCATGTTATTATAATTGAGAAAATAGCAACGTTATTGGGTGGGAATTGAAAACTTAAGCGTACTTTTAGGAATAATTGGATATGAGTGTTACTTATGGGAGCTAATCTTGATTAATTAAGTAATCACTAGTCAATACTAATATAAATAATGTTAAATCTTGAATCTTGAATGAAGTCTCAATAGGCTTTATTGTTCTATTTAAGATTCGGAGAAAGATAGATTACAAAAAAAATTTAATCGATCTTTTAGGATGAAAGGGTGAGGGAAACTTGAAAATTGGACTAGTATCATTAGATTTCTCTTTATCAATAATTTTTTATAAGGATATTTTATTATAACAATTGATTTTTTATTTTTTGGGGAATCAATTTTATTGTTATGCTATGACTTATGCATGATAATATTTTGACTATAACTCTAAAAAATAAATCAAGATCATTTTCTATGTACAAGTTAAATCAAAGTAGGTAACACGATTATATGTTTAGTTGGATAATTAGTCATTGTGGACCAATTGAAAATTCTCCATTTTCCATTAACTATCTTGACTTGGGTTTGCTTAATTCTCGACTTTTTTGATAAAATATGATCTTTAAAATCCTCACGCAATTATCATATTTTACTATAAACGAAGAAAGGTAAAAAATTTAATTTGTCTTGTTGTGTATAATAATTTTTTTCATTTTGAACTCGCCCGCATAATTTTATAAATATTTTTTTCTTCTAGTTAAATTTGATACTAATAAAATATTTTTTTCATTAAATTGTATTAATTTAGTATGATAATGACTTGCAATTTTATTTTTTAGAGGTCAATTGGAAAACACGTAAGAAATTATATTAATTTTTATTGATTCGTTTTCATTTGCTATCTAGAGTATTTTAGTAGTTTTATAGAAATATATCTTAATAAATAATGTTCTATCACTTTTATAACACATGTAAAAATTTAAAATTAAGTTTGAACCCACATAAAATTGCATAGACCTGCAATCCATCCTGCCTTGCATTAAATTTTTTTAAAAAACTCCCTTCAACCCGCCTCGCATCATGCTCGCCCCACATAGCCTTATATCCACCCGTCCCGCATCAGCCTCGACTCATTATATTGCTATCTCTATTCTTTATTCTAAAGTAATAATAATGAAACAATAGATCACCTCCTTTTTTTATTTTGTCGTTATTGAGGACGTCTTTTAAAAAATAATAGATACTAAGAATAATATTATTATATTTTCTTAAAATTTATTCAGTTTAATATTTTGAGAAATGTGTTAAGATGATAAATAGTATTTAATAACAAAATAAAATAAATATAAAAGATAATAAAAAAATTTGAATTGAACAAATATTATTGAATAATTATTTCTTACGCAGTAGATGATTATTCTTAGACGGAGAAAGCAATTTTTCTGTTTCTAGCCTTTGACACTTCTGTTGTTCAGTTTTGATTCCATTTAATTTATTTTATAAAGCTCTCTTATTGAGAGGTGAAGAGGTGAGACAGCTCCCTGTCCCCAATTTTTTAATTTAAAATGGGATTGGTATAGGAATATATCACGAACTAGGAGGTTTGAGTATGGCCTCGATGACCAAATGGATGCATATCTAAGTTCAAACGAATTATAAAGTAGAAAAAATTAAAATTTATTGATTTTTATGTAATATAATTTATGAATTTTTAGGATGGTAATCAAACTCTCAAATATACAAACAGATTAAGTCCAAAAATATAATAAAACTTTTATATAATTTAAATATGTAGCTAATAATTTCTGTTGAACTAAAGAAGCAAGCTGATGTAATTGTAGTTGAGTTAGGCTTGACTAAGTTTGTTAAAAAGTAGTTAAAAGTTAGTTATGCAGTTACATATATTGTTAGAGAATCTTCTAGAAAGTGTGATGTAAAAAACGTGTATATATATTTCTCATATCATGTATCTTGTGAGCATCACAGATAAGAGAATAACATTTCAGTTTCCTTCTTCTTCCTACATTCTGCTTCTTCCTTGGTTTGAGAACTCAGGAAGACTTCAACTATAGAAATCTAACATGGTATCAGAGCTTCGATCAAAGAGTTCAGATTAGTGTTATATTCAAATTCAGAAGAAGATCATGGAAGTAGAAGGTGCAGTTCCGGTAGTTTCAGCAGTCCCAGCAGTTTCAGGCAGATCTGTGATTGATCACACACATCCTCTGTATCTATATCCTAACGACACTCCAGGTAGCTCTCTTATTTCGATTCAACTGACTGGATCTGAAAATTATGCACTTTGGAGTAGATCTATGCGTTTAGGATTGTTGGGAAAAAGCAAATTAGGCTTTGTAGATGGCAGACACACTAAAGATACATTTGAAGAATCAATGTATGATCAGTGGGAGAAGGTGAATGCAGTGGTTTTATCTTGGATAATGAACTCTGTGAAGTCTGAATTACTGAGCAGCATTATATATGCTTCGAATGCTCATAAGGTCTGGCTAGATTTGCAGGAGAGATTTGATACTGTGAATGGTTCTAGAGTGTTCTATCTTCATAGAGAAATTGCTACTCTTACACAGGGTAGTCAATCTGTTTCTGACTATTTTTCTCAGTTGAGAAATTTGTGGGATGAGTTTGATGCACTCATGCCATGTCCTGGATGCAATTGCACTGAATCTCGTAGTTATGCTCAACATTATGGATATCAAAGACTTTTACAATTTCTCATGGGTCTTAATGAGACATATGCTCAATGTAGAAGTCAAATCCTAATGTTAACACCTCTTCCAACACTGAACAAGGCTTATTCATTAGTGATAAATCATGAAAGCCAAAGATCAATTGCAATGTCAACTTCAGTCAGTAAGAGTTCTGAGCTGTTAGAAGGAGCTGCATTCTTCAGTAAAAAAGGAAGTCAGCCTAATAACAATGGAAGAGTGCTTAATTCTAACAGATCATTTCATGGAGGAGGTTCTAATTCAGGAGGCAATCACAATGGTAGAGTATCATCAGCAAGGGGAAACAGACCACAAAAGAGAGAACCAGTAGTTTGTGAGTTTTGCAATTATAATGGACATACTAAGGAACAGTGTTACAAACTCATAGGATATCCATCTGACTGGCCTAAGAACAGAAGACAAGGATCATCTCAATTTGCTAATCAAGTAGGCAATTATTTTTCTTCTTGTTCTGATGAGGCAAAGAACTCAAGTTCATATGATACAAATCAGGAAGTAGGAGGAACTGCAGCACAATCATCTATTCTTCCTTCATTTACTCCAGAACAGTATCAACAAATTCTTCACTTGTTGAACAAAACAAATGATGATTCATCCCCTACCATTCAAACAGCAAATGTAGGTACTCAAAGATCTATTTCAGTCAATAGTGGATCTGTTAAGTGGATAATAGATACAGGAGCTTCAAATCATATGGCATCTAATTCTGAGATATTACATACATGTCATAAAATGTCTCAATATGCAGATAATAAAGTTCATCTTCCTACTAGACAGATAGTATCAGTAGCCTATACAGGAAGTTCAAAAATATTCAATGATTGTTCTATCTCGAATGTGCTAGTGCTACCAGAGTTTAAGTTTAATCTGTTGTCAGTCTCAAGGTTAACAAGGGAGTTAAAATGTTCTGTAGCATTTTTCCCTGACTTCTGTATATTTCAGGATCTCTCAAATGGCATGGGGAAGGGGATTGGTAGAGAAGAACAGGGTTTGTACATCTTAAAGAGCAATTCTGAGAAGTCTGCTATATGTGGTTTTACAACTAGATCTGGTATCAATCAAGATAAACCTTTTGAATCTAGCATACTTTGGCACAGAAGGTTGGGTCATGCTTCCATGAATATCATCAGAGTTCATAAACAACTTCAGCATTTACACCATTCTCATCAG